GTGTACACATCCACCCTATAATGATAAAAATCCACCCAGTGCTTTTTTTTTTTTAAATCTTGATAAATCCAAACCCCTTTCTCATATCAAGCCAATCTCAGATTCTTGGCAGAATGACGTAGTTCTGCACAGGCCCCTCCCATGATTGTTGATTGACAGTGGCGTCAGTCTTTGGTTTAATCACAGACCCGCCCTGAGTGAGCTGTCATCAGTCCGCCATCGTTTTGACGCCGGAGCGGGTGTAGACAAGATTGTCTCCCAAGCGATTGAGGTGCTTTGTTGTTGGATGAAATAATGAAGATGGCAATCGTCCCTTCTCTTTGACCATTATCTTTACTTTTCTTATCATAAATCTTTTTACAGAGGGGCCCCAACAGTATGGAAGCAGATGGGTAGCAAAATTCATTTTGAAATGTAATTTGCAAAATGGCAATGCAATATGTAAAATGGCAATGCATTTCTTTATTTAAATTTACATTTTCCCATACATATGTGCAACGTTTAGTTCAAAACGAAAATGAAAATTCAATTATATAATTTACATTTGCCATTTCCTACACTAGTTTTAATATGTAAATTAAAAACATTTTAACGCTTTATAAGTTGCAAAATAAAAATAAAAATGTATTACCCAAATTGATTAGATGTTTAACATGTCCAAGCAAAAATATCATTTAAATGCCATTTTTCCTAAATGCATAAAGACTTACGGGTAGGACACTTGGGATTGCATTTTCATCGTGATACTGTGTGATAATTGTAGCAATGCATTCTCCTCGCCCTCTTAAAGGGGTCATCGAATGCAAAATTCACTTGCATTTAATTTTTTAATTACATTTTGCATGTAATTTTTTAATTACATGCAAAATTACACGTTTGAACTGAAATGTGTCTTGGCAGTGTGTGTACACATCCACCCTATAATGATAAAAATCCACCCAGTGCTTTTTTTTTTTTAAATCTTGATAAATCCAAACCCCTTTCTCATATCAAGCCAATCTCAGATTCTTGGCAGAATGACGTAGTTCTGCACAGGCCCCTCCCATGATTGTTGATTGACAGTGGCATCAGTCTTTGGTTTTATCACAGCTTCGCCCTGAGTGAGCTGTCATCAGTCCGCCATTGTTTTGATGCCGGAGCAGGAGTAGACAAGAATGACTCCTAAGCGATTGAGGTGTTTTGTTTTTTAATGTATGTAATGGATGTAATAATGAACATAGCAGTAGTCATTTACTCCCGGCATCTGAGGCGCTGAAGACGCAGTGAATTACTGTTACCGAGTGACTGAGGCGAGAGGCGTGCGGATCCATATGCAAAGCTTTATTAAAAGACAAGGTCAAAACAGGCAGTGGTCAACACCAGCAAACAGATATAGGCAGGACAAGACGAAAGCGTAATCCATAAGACAGGCGTGGGTCAAAAGACGGCGAACATAATCCAGAGGGTGAGGCAAACGGGTAATCCACAAACAGGCAATAGTCCAGGCAAGGTGCAAACAAAGTTCGAGAGGGCAATGCAAAGGGTAATCCAAGGCTGGCAATGACTCCAGGACAGACAGAGATCAGACAAGATGAGGTAAACGGGCTAGGATCAAGACACGAGTGAAAGCAGGCAATGAACAAGACTAGACTAGACTAGGAACTTGGACTGGAAACTAGGTCAGGGAAATAGCTCCATAAAGTAGCTATCGCTAGGAGAGTGATAAACGCTAAACAATACTCGGCGCTGAACTGTGGTTAGAGTCTCATATTTATAGTGTGTGTAATTGGCTGCAGGTGAGAACGTAATCAGTGAAATGGAACCTGGGAAATGTAGTCCGGGGTGACATGTAACAGTCTGTGTAGTGTGAGAGTCAATATAATCGGCAAGCGACCTCTGGTGGTGAGCAAATGGAAGACCACGGACAGGATTTGTGACAATTACGTTTGTTTTTGAGGGAATGCGCCCCCGATTTACCTAAATGCATCTATGTTCACGCGAATCATTCGTGATCCAGCTTCACCTACAGAAAAAGTGAGTATAAGGTTTTTTTATGAATCTTTGCAAATCGCCTTTCCTAATAATGTGTTAGTTAGCAAGTTTCACGATGAATGCGGCTAAAGTTTACAGTCTCTCAGAGAGCGACTTGAAAGAGAGAGGCAGGGAGAGCAGAGCTCATTTGCATTTGAAGCAACATGCAACAAAACGGCTTGCTGTAAACAGAGCTGTTTTTGACAGGGTAAAAAAGGTATTATTTTACACTACCATTGAGAAATTTTAACCAAAGTATGTTATAGATTTCTCATTAAGACCCTAAAGAATCATATCAAACTGTGGAAAAGCCCAGGGGCCTCTGCCCCATCCACGTGCTTGAAAATGGCCTGCATGTTAGAGTGGACACGTGCCGATTGCGGTGCAGACCACGCCTTCACAAGCTGCTGATGGAAGTCGGGGAAGAACTTGACCAACGCCATCGAGTCAGCTTGCCGGTGTGTCGATCTAAAATACCAGGAGTCAAGCTTACTCTTGGCAGTCTCCTCCGGAGGGCTCCAAGTAAGCTCGAGTTCCTGGACAGCTTTGGTCCTGACCCTCACAAGCTCCTCCTGGAGGTCTGGGGGCCCCTCGCTGTCTGGACAATCACACTCCGATCCCGCACAATCCTCTTTCTCCGAGGCCGAGATGGACATCGAGTCCTCATCTTCTTCCTCCCGGCCGAACGACACGAAGTCCGCGATGTTCGGAGGAGGGTGGAAGCAGTCCTCGGGGAAGGTGACTGGAGAATGGGGTGACTGCTAATGATGGCCTCACCCCAAACAAGCCATGTTGCGGTGAGTCCGAAGCATGCAATGCCCGCAGTCGGACTCCTCTAACTCCGCCTCAGCATGGGCAAAGCCCAGGCAGGCAACGCAGTGCTCATGCTGATCTGGAGGTTCAATGGGTCCCGCGCAGGTTCTTATATCTTACAATATAAAGCCATTCTTCAGGTTGTTCAGAAGTAAAACAAGCAGGTGAAGGAGAAGATTCTGATGCAATTGGTGCGTGCATCGCATTTTATACTGCCTCTCGAGTTCGTCAATATTTGCATAAGATGCATACTTCGCGACAATTGGCCAGTCAGTTGGACTGGCGTGAGCCAATAGGACTTCAGGAGAGGTTGTAAGGGAAGGAGTTCCCATAATTGGATAAAGCTCCGTGATGTCGAGTGA